AAAAAAAAAAAAAAAAAGAAAAATGTTACTTACAGGCTTCCGTAACTACCTGTAGTTTTCAGGTATCTGCTGGGAGTCCTGAACATATCCCCTATGGATAAGAGGGTTCTACATTGCAGAGCTTTTCTGCAGGGGAGAAAGAGATGGTTTGGTGATGGACATTAATTTTATTTTTTGAGATTTTAGTTGAGGAGTGCTTTTCCTTAGAGATTTTTCACTCGCTACAACATTGATCTGGCTGGGCACAGTGGCTCATGCCTATAATCTTAGCATTCTAGGAGGCTGAGGCAAGAGGATCCCCTTGAGTTTTAGGAGTTTGAGACCAACCTGAGCAAGAGCAAGACCCAGACCTCATCTCTACTAAAAAAATACAAAAATTACCCATTGTTGTGATGGGCACCTATAGTCCCAGCTACTTGGGAGGCTGAGGCAGGACAGTTGCTTGAACCCAGAAGTTTCGGGTTGTTGTGAGCTAGGGTGATGCCATGGCAGTCTAGCCTGGGCAACAGAGTGGGGCTATCTCAAAAAAAAAAATTGATCTTTATTATATGTTTATTATGATAATCATGAAGTCTTTGTTTCCTGTGTTTTTATTTTTAATTACATTTTAATGAAGATAACTGTGTATGATTGGAAACTATCATAAAGCTTTTTGGTCACTGAAGATTGGTTCTGAGAGAGAGATAAAAAAGTAACAGAATATAAAAGGGATATAGGAGCAAGTCATGTTTTGCTGCAGTTAGTGGTTCTAGTCCGTATTTTGGCTTATTCAGATTTTGTAAAAGAGCAATGACATGTATTCTTTTTTTTTTTTCCATTTTTGGCAGGGCTGGGTTTGAACCTGCCACTTCTGGCAAATGAGACCAGTGCCCTACTCCTTTGAGCCACAGGCACCACCCTTTATTCTGTTTTTATGTATGATTAAAACGTGTGGCATATCTTTATCTTACTCTATTAAGATTATTAACTGGTTGAATATAAAACTGTACAACAATTTCAGTTTAACTGAATTTTGTTCTTTGAAACTCTTTCCTTCCCCTCACAGGAAAACTGTGTTTATGAAACTGTAGTTTTGCCTTTGGATGAAAGAGCATTTGAGAAGACTTTAACACCAATCATACAGGAATATTTTGAGCATGGAGATACTAATGAAGTTGCGGTAGGTTTAAAGTTACAAGTATAAGCCAGGTGCAGTGGCTCATGTCTGTAACTCTAGCACTCTGGGAGGATCCATTGAGCTCAAGAGTTTGAGACCAGCCTGAGCATTTTTCTTTTATTAAAAGTAGAAAAATTAGCTGGGTATTGTCGTGGGTGCCTGTGGTCCCAGCTACTTGGAAGGCTAAGGTAAAGAGAATTACTTGAGCCCTAAAGTTTGAGGTTGTTGTGAGCTAAACTGATGCCACAGCACTCTAGCCTGGGGCAACAGAATGAGACTATCTCAAAAAGAAAAAAGTTGAAGTATAATTTACTTAATACAGGAGAGAAAACACTGTTTAAGCAAAACATATCTAGAGTGATCTTGCACATTTTCTTTTGCTTAAGTAAATTTAAAAGTAAGAGATGGGATAAAGTCTCATTATATTAACCAGTTCTAATATTTAATGTTTGGGATCTGATGAAAACTGTGTTATTTCCTTCCATGAAAAAATGGCACAAAATAATATTTTTATAAATCAATTTTTATAATTAAAAGAATTTATAATGTCTGCTTTTATAATGAATAAAATATTTTGGCAATTTCACGGTATTTGTGGGCCTTCTGAAAACTCGTCAGAGACTTTGGTTAAGAATAACTGACTTGGCTTGGTGCCTGTGTCTCAAGCTGCTAAGGCGCCAGCCACGTACACCTGAGCTGGTGGGTTCCAATCCAGCCCAGGCCCACCAAACAATAATGACGGCTGCAACCAAAAAAAATAGCTAGGTGTTGTGGTGGGTGCCTGTGGTCCCAGCTACTTGGGAGGTAGAGGCAGGAGACTGGTTTGAGCCCAGGAGTTAGAGGTTGCTGTGAGCTGTGATGCCATGGCACTCTACCCAGGGCGAATAGCTTTGAGGCTCTGTCTCAAAAAAAAAAAAGAATAATTGACTTAATTTCATGATTTGATAGTCATTTTGATGTTTAGGATTAAGAAAATTTTTCTTAATTAAAAAAACCACTGATACAGAAATTTAAAAAAGAAACATATACAGAAACTAAGAATAAATTTAAGTGGTTTTGAAGCAAATTTGTATATTAATATTGACTGTGTTATAAATTGTTCATAAAGTAAATGTGGAATTGTGAAGTATTATTACTGGTCTAGTTTTGATTACTGAGTTAAAGTAATACAGTTATAACTCTTAAAATTCAAAATGGATGGTCTTGATTTATTTGTCCAATACTATGAAGTTTACTTTTAGATTTTTAAGAATTGAATATAAAACAAATATTTGTACAGTGCATACCACGTAGAGGAATTTGTGATAGATGATTCTTGCCCTTTTGATGGTTAGTCAAGTGAAGGGAATGAAATGTAAACAGATTATTAAACTATGTGAGACATTGTTATGTAATGGTAGAGACTGTTGAAATCTGGGTATCTGCTTGCCATAGGACCAACTGTGTATTGTCTATTAACTAAGTAAGTAGTGCTATGAGTGGAGTGTTAAAGGAAGTGTAAAATTGAGGACAATAATAGAGGTGATTTGGAACCATCTGAAGGAGTTTGGCTGTTAAAGTAACTGAAGAAGGTTTTTCGGGAAGGGGGTATCCCATGTCTGAAGGCAGCGAGTTAAAGTGTGGTTAAGGAAGATGAAATGGAGTTGAAAGAGGCTACTAACCAGGACACAAGTTAGGGGGCTGTGAAAATAGTTGTGTCACTCTCTTAGCAGTATACCATGATTTAAAGCAGGCATCCTCAAACTATGGCCTGCGGGCCACATGCGACCCACCTAGGACATTTATCTGGCCCTCCTATGTTTTTGCTGCTGCTGCCTGTCCTGCTTAGCAGCCGACTCATCCCAGGCTCGCAGTCCAGCCCTCCAACAGTCTGAGGGACAGTGAACTGGCCCCCTGTTTAAAAAGTTTGAGGAGCCCTGATTAGAGTCTCTGTTACAGTTTATAGACCGCAGGGTCAGATTGCCTGTACTCCACATTCAGCTTGGCCACAGCAGCTTTATGCCCTCAGCCATTACTTAATTTTTCTGTGCTTTGGGCATGATAAGTATGATAATTAATACTCAGAGGGTTATTTTGAGTATTAAATGATGTATATAAAGTGGCTGTTATGTTATGCCTGATACTTTATAACTGGTTAATATTAGCTGCTGCTATTATATTTTTAATAGGAAATTTTAACCCTAGCATTTAAAATGAATAATTCCATTTAAAAACAGTGATTTGAGGTCCTATCATAAACTTCATATAAAAGTATAAAGTGAATTTTTGTTTTAAGAGAAAGCTTTGAATAAAAGTAGAGTAAAGCAGCTTATGTAAAGAACATGTAAAATAAATTTCTCTACAAATGCTCACAGAACAATATTTCTGATAGTAAGGCAGAGTTAGTTAGCTTTTTACTAACTCTGGATTAATAATACTATGTAGCCTTTTTTTTTGAGGCAGAGTTGCACTTTGTTGCTACAGGCTAGAGTGCTATGGCATCAGCCTAGCTCACAGCAACCTCAAACTCCTGGGTTTAAGTGTTTCTCTTTCTTCAGGGTCCTGAGTAGCTAGGATATAGGCATCTGGCACAATGCCCAGCTAATTTTTTTTTTTTTTTTTTTTTTTTTGGTAGAGACAGAGTCTCACTCTATTGCCCTTGGTAGAATGTCATGGCATCACACAGCTCATAGCAACCTCCAACTCCTGGGCATGGGCAATTTTCTTGCCTCAGCCTCCCGAGTAGCTGGGACTATAGGCCCCTGCCACAATGCCTGGCTATTTTTTGTTGCAGTTCAGCCTGGGCTGGATTTGAACTCATAATCCTCAGTATGTGGGGCTGGTGCCCTACCCACTGAGCCACAGGCACCGCCCTAAGTTTTTTACTTTTAGTAGAGACAGAGTCTTGCTCTTTGTTCAAGCTGGTCTTCTGAGCCCAAGTGATCCTACCACCTTAGCCTCCCAGAGTGCTAGAATTACAGGCATGACCCCCCCCACCACCACCCTGCCTGTGCCACATGCCTAGCTGATATTATGTAGCTTAATGGACTACAGAATTGAGCTATATAATGATGTCTTGGTCAAGAATTTTGACCACATGTACCACTGTGGTCCCATGGAATGATAATACTATATTTTTACTATACTTTTTCTATGTTTAGATATTATTTAGGTACACAGATACTTAACTTTGTGTTGCAGTTGCTTATAGTATTTAGTATGGTAATATGCTGTACAGGTTTGTAGCCTAGGAACAATAGGATATACTGTATGGCCTAGTTGTGCAGGAGGCTGTACCATCAAGGTTTGTATAAGTACACTGTGGTATTTGCAGAATGATGAAAATGTCTAAATAACAAGTTTCTTAGACTATCTGTATCGTTAAGGGATGTATGGCTGTATTTTGAATGTAATTCACATTCTTGAGTATAGTTATGTTCAGGCAGTTAAAAAAGCTCGACAGAGTGGATCAATATCTAATGTAAATGCATGAAAAGTTGATTTGTCCTATCTCTCAAAATAAGACTACATCTATTCTTATTTCCAGAGAGGGAGAGGTAAAGATAGGTATAGATAAAAGCTTGATTTTGCAAAAACAAAATTTTATCAAACTCTAGGTAGTCACATACTTTTTAAAATTTTAAAAATTATTATTATTTTTGAATAGGAAATGCTGAGAGATTTAAATCTTGGTGAAATGAAAAGTGGAGTACCAGTGTTGGCAGTGTCCTTAGCATTGGAGGGGAAGGCAAGTCATAGAGAAATGACATCTAAGCTTCTTTCTGACCTTTGTGGGACAGTAATGAGCACAAATGATGTGGAAAAATCATTTGATAAATTGTTGAAAGATCTACCTGAATTGGCATTGGATACTCCTAGAGCACCACAGGTATGTATGAATTGTCGTTTTGTTCACTCACCCCTCCATCCCCACATTCCCCCCTAGACACTACTAACTGTAGAAATAATACCTGTTTCTAGAAAATATTTGTAGGTGAAAGGGAAATGGTCCCCATTCCCTCCCCCTGCAAAAATAGGAGTCTAACATTTTTGTGTATTTTTTCAGTTAGCTTTTTTTCTTTTTTTTTAAATGCAAGCTTTATCATACTATAAATTTAGTTTTATACTATATGCTCTGTATAGGTTTTAGGTCTTTTTTTTACCATATGTATTTTCTTCTTATTCCTTTTTTTTTTTTTTTGGAAGTTGATGACGTTACGACTTTAAAGGTTCTGACAGGTCTTGGTCTAAACACTGTGTAAACTGTAAATTACGATTGGGATTTTGTTTAGAGTCTTAAGCTGCCTTTATCAATTTCAATTTTTAGAGCCAGGGGCCCCAGGTTTTTCCACAACTTTATGATCTACTTTATGTTGTATATGCACATTTATGGTGCTTGTCCTGGGAAAAGCTCCAGTGATAATCTTGTACAGTAATGTGATATGGGCCTGACTCTTAATTACCAAGACTAAATTGTTAGGTCTGATGAAAAGACATTCAGTGGTTTACAGCCATGTTACTGAACACAAAGAAAACAAAGAGCATAAGATGAATAGTTGGTTTAGGCTATTATAACAAAATACCATAAGTGGTGACTTACAGACAACAGAAATTTCTTGCTCACAGTTTTGGACGCTGAGAAGTCCAAGATCAAGGTGCCAGCAGATTTGATGTCTGGTGAGGGCTTGATGCTCCTGGACAGTGCTTTCTGTGTGTCCTTACATGGCAGAAAGGCATATATATATTTTCTATTATATGTAGTTAAGCTGTTTTGTTAGCTAGGATTTTAAAAAATGTTATAATTGATGGAATTTGTTTGATTAAAGTTTATTATAAAAAGTCATAAATAAGACTTTCCCTGTGTAGCTTTGAAAACATGAACTTATTGCTATTTATTAACGTTAATATCTTTTCCTATGGCCATAAAGTGTATCATCTT